ACAATTTTGAATCTTTAACGCTTGCTTTTTGTAGATGTTTTGTTTCGAATAAAAGATGGATGATGTCATTAAACTCATCGATCATTTGATAAATGCCAAGTATTCTATTGATACGGTGGAATCAATTGTGAATCAGCTGAATGTTCCAAAAGATCAGATTTATCGAATATTGAGATCTGATCGTTATAAGGATTATTTTCAATTTCTTAAAAAGTCGAATCAAGGCAAAGATAAAGTCGCTCTCACTCTCGATGTAAACTTCTACTTACCCAAAATACGTATTTTCAACTTTCCGTTTTCTAGCTTTTCTGTTGTACACATTATGCTCAACAATGTAAAAATCAATCCTGTCCATTTTTACACTTGTGTCCGTACAATATTCGACCGATGCATGGCAAATGTACGAATAAAACATGTCCATATGATCATGAAGTTCTAAAAAGCAATCATAATAAAACAATTATCAACACACGTGGTTTAACCTTTCTAACAGACAAATTACTCTTGAATTTAGCACGACTGAGTGCTGATCCAAGTCGATCGGTAAATACTCTTCTTTGTCAATTGTAAAACATATATTCATCTTTCGATGTTAGTTCTGGGTATGCACCGATAATGGTAAAAAAGGTGGATGTGCAAAAAAATCTCAATGTGATAAGCTACACTATTGTTATTTCTCTCTAATCAATGCTTGTACAAAATCCTATTGTCAACATGTTATCAACGATGCATGTGCTGCATACTTCCGACATAAAGATTTGTCCGAACAAGAGAACAATGATATTTTAGAAGCTTTTAGGAAAGTTCTTCGACAACGGTGCGTGATTTCGATGGGATTCATCGTGTAAAGATGTATTTTTAGAAAGCCTGATTACATTACTACGATTAGTGTTCCTTCGCACCCATCATGGGCTGATCCAGCATCATCAAATGACAGGTCACTCGCTTTCAATGATCATAAAAGGTAAATCAACTTTCGCGTTTCGTATTCGAAGAGAAAATGCAAATGATATTTCCGTTCTTCTAGTGAATCTCCAAATGTTGATGAACAACCTTTGACTCCATCGATTCGTTCGGTATTATCAGCAACAGCACCCGAATATAATGCTAAAAGTCCTTCAAAATCCGAGCTTTGTCCACCTATAGCAGAACATGAACAAGATATTCTTTTAATCGATTTGTTAGACGAACAGGAACGGACAGAAACTGAATATTATCTAACACAGGAAGTTGGTTATTCAATGAAATTGTTAATTTGCAAAATTATCCATTCAGAATATAAGACTTCTCAAAAGTAGTCCGTAGAAAAATTTCTCCTACGCATGTAACTTGTTTTCTGTTTACAGTGAAACCAGCTCTGGGGAATTTGTTTATTATTATTGTCCAATAGAAAATCTTCGTGATCTTTTCAAATTACTTTATTGTCAAAATGAGCACGAATTATTGATAAAACCATTAATCGTCTATTCGAACATTCACGATGCACACGAAGCAACGGAATTAAATCTTGAAAATAATCAATTTTGTCTATTGCGTCTATTTGTATTTCAGTCAAAACTTGTTCAGGAAAATTCTTTAGAAATCTACGATCCCTCAATGATAACTTTTGATCGAATGTGGATTTACATGTACAATGACCAAGAGAGTTTTTGAATTCATAAATAAACAACTTTTGCAATTCGTTTTATATCATTCAATTTCGTTCGGCATATTTCCTTAAAATAAGAAGCACTTTTCTTCAACGATACCTACTTGTGAACTTTGATCCAAGCGAATTAACGAAATGACAATGTTTATAACGAATTATTGAGATTAAGAAAGTTAGACCGAAGGAACTAAATCCATTGGTCAGCATGTGTGGACACAGTGATGATTTTCTTTAGAAATAACAATTGTGATATAATCTGAGGGTGATTGAAGTCAATTTCGAATTACGATGCTAGAGTTATATATGCATTAAATGTGAAATACTTATCTCGTTCCTGACAAAATTCACGCGGAGCAGTTCGAATGTAGTATGTTTATTATATGAGCACGATTCATTATTTTTAAAAAGTGTTATCTGATCTGAGCATATTGTTCTTTTAAAAGTTCGACGAGCTAGATGTATAGAGTACAGAAAAATACAAAAAGAAACAGAAAGAAAGAACGAGTAATTGGTAACTTTTTACGCATGATCATCAAGAAATCGTGTTTTGAACAGTAGTACGATCTTTTACGATGACACTAACATATTGAGACAATCAAGAAAAAGTATAAAGTCAAGGGAAAACACGAAGTAACGTTATCAAACATCGTCGTCATCTTCATTATTGTATCCTTCAGGAAAATTCTTGACCAAGTTGTATAACAGAATGTTCTGATTCTTTAACATCCGCAACATCTTTGCGTGCAGACCTTCAAGTGACAAATGAACTTTTTGAAAATTATTGGCTTGAGTTTTATTTAATTCCTTTAAAAATAGAAAAATCATTTCATTCTAACTAAATTTTAATACATCATTTCCCTAATACATACAATTAATTCCTTAAGTAAGTCATTCGTTGTCGCTTGATGTGACTGTTGTCCTTTCTGTAAAAATAGAAAAATCATTTCATTCTAACTAAATTTTAATACATCATTTCGCTAATACGTACAATTAATTCCTTAAGTAATTCATTGGTTGTCGCTTGATGTGACTGTTGATCTTTCTGTAAAAATAGAAAAATCATTTTATTCTTACTAAATTTTAGTACATCATTTCGCTAATACGTACAATTAATTCCTTAAGTAATTCATTGGTTGTCGCTTGATGTGACTGTTGTTCATCAGGCTGTTGTTGATGAGTTTGTTGGAGCCCTGGTTGTTGCTGATGAGTTTGTTGGACCTCTGGTTGTTGAGGAATATAATTAGCATAAACCTAAAAGAAGAGAAAATATTTTTATTTAATTTGAATGCTACACAAAAAAAGCATGATCGTAGAGGAGCTAATATGCTTATGACTCTATTGTGTCTAAAAAGAAATTGAGAACGTTTTTTTTGATACTCACACAATGACATTCTACTATTTCAATTCGGTTCTGTGTGCACATGGTCACCCTCGAATTTTCTATCTTGAATGAGTGAAAGAAAACATGAGTGCACTTCTTTATATGCGTCTATATTCGTAGACGCTCAATATGTTCGTTGCTATGACAACCACAGTATTCTAAGAAAGAAAAAAATTCTCTCGATTGCGATACGTGAAAGAATTTGAACCCACTAAAAACATTGTTATCCTATTGGATGGATAAGCATACTCAAATGAGGAACAACCGAAGTGCGTTCCACAACTGAAAAACATGCGATATAATGTCTCTACTACTACTCTAAAGCTGTTACATCAAACACTGAGTAAGTTGCGATGTACTAAAAATGCTTCGAAGATAGATTATTAATTTATTGCTTAGCATTGCACTCGGAAGTCTCTATTAATCAATTAATATCTCCATGCCTATGGAAATAAAAGATTTCTCGAAATGAAAATCGAACGTTTAATTACGAGAAAGAGTTTTTAGGTCTAAATACTAATTTCAACGAACAGTAGTAGATTTATAAACTTACTGCAGTATAGATGGGTGGTTCAACGTAGTTCGCCGCTAAAAGCAGATGTAAAATGGTAAGTTATCTGAGTCAAGAAATAACTCACGTCTTATCGGTGATATGGGTAGGTTTCGACCGCGTGCCTAAGAACAGAGACGAGCGAAAATAGTATATCTCAATAAAGCTATTCGCCCATGATCATTTACCACAGTACGATATAATGGGCGACCGTTTGCGTCTGGTGATGAGTTCGAAGCCATCTGAAAAGAACTGGACCTACAATATGTGGGAGTGAATCAAACTTCTGAGACAAAGTTTTATTTTGACTAAATGAATACGAAAAGCTTTCGATCCCATCAATTTATTTAAACAATCATGTTAGTGATTAGTCATCGATGTCCAATATTGTTTTGTAATAACCACTGATCGATCTTTCCGCTCTACCACTCGAATGAAATCGAATCTATATGTGTCCACTTATATAATAGTGACACTGTCGTTCACTTCAATTTCGACAATCATAGAGTAATTCAATATTTTCTGACATAACTTAATCTGAATAGTTATTCTATCTAGTTCGACAATCCAGTGTATCATACCTATCAATATCAGTTCAGTGTGTGCCACTCTAAACACCATTTCCTTGATATAATATCTTCTTCTCGATATCTAACGCCCCCTATTGATACTTTCTACTCAGTTCGAACTGTAATATGATAGCAAATAGACGCTCGAGTTAATCAATCAGATCTTAAACTTGACTAAGAAATTTTGCCGTAAAAATGAACATGCTTTCCATCATCAAAATACGAGAAGAGAAGAGAAAACATCTTTCGATTAATCATTGGATATTCAATATTACATCAAACTCTGAGCGCTGCTTCAGCACAGTACTTAATTCAGGTTGATCATAGATATAAGATTTTCCATGAAAAATCTGTTCGTGAATAATGCGTAGTTCACAATTCTCAATTTCATCATCTTTTCAACAAGAGCTACCAACAACAATGACCGGCAAATATGATATGATACAGCAATCACAGTGCTTCCTGCTGATGGACGTCTTTTTCAAGTTGAATATGCACAAGAAGCTGTCAAGAAAGGATCGACCGCCGCAGGTGTACGAGGCAAAAATATCGTTGTTCTAGGAGTGGAAAAGAAAGCAGTTGCTGTCCTGCAGAAAGATTGGCAAGATTTTTATTTCAAGTTATTCTCTACTTTGATATGCGAATTATTTTAGTACAGTACGTAAGATCTCTGTGCTCGACGATCATGATGCTATGACATTTCCTGGTCTTACAGCTGATGCTCGTACACTCATGCATCGTGCTCGTATCGAATGTCAATCTCACCGACTGAATGTCGAAGATCCCGTCACTATTGAATACATCACCCGGTTCATTGCTGATCTGCAACAAACCATTGAAAATACTCAGTGCTGATGAAGTCGAAAAGTACATAGCTGAAATCGAAGCAGAAAAGAAAAATCAAGCGAAACAAATCGGTAGTAGACCTGCAACTTCATCCACATTAACCAGTCAGACTTCAAGAAAAGAATAAAATCAAGAGATCGAAGATCTCGGTAAATAACATTCTCTTCTTAAGCACTCTTTTTTATTGTTAATTCATTTGTTCCGTTTCTTCTTTGATATCAATACAAATAAAACAAGAGACATTCAATGGTCATCGTCAAATCACGACTTTGAATCTTTAACGCTTGCTTTTTGTAGATGTTTTGTTTCGAATAAAAGATGGATGATGTCATTAAACTCATCGATCATTTGATAAATGCCAAGTATTCTATTGATACGGTGGAATCAATTGTGAATCAGCTGAATGTTCCAAAAGATCAGATTTATCGAATATTGAGATCTGATCGTTATAAGGATTATTTTCAATTTCTTAAAAAGTCGAATCAAGGCNTTAGAAATCTACGATCCCTCAATGATAACTTTTGATCGAATGTGGATTTACATGTACAATGACCAAGAGAGTTTTTGAATTCATAAATAAACAACTTTTGCAATTCGTTTTATATCATTCATTTTGATTGGTTCTATCGTGTCGAAATTACATTTACATGGAAATTGGGAAACAAAGTGAAGGTTGATGATGCGGCAATGCTTTTTTACTGACACGTTATGTTGATTTGTAAAAAAAAAGATTTCGAGTAGAAGAGTACAAAGACTGGAAATAAATATTTTTTTCTATTCATAGTTTATTGTGGTGTATAATGTTTATTCAACACTTCTTCCATTTTTATCGACGCCCGATCGCATATTGATGAATAATTTTGATTCATTTTCAACGACGTCATTCTCAATCTTTGAAAATCAGCGCCCTCTATCGGAAAGACATTTTTTTATCGAATTTCTTCAATCTTTCTTCTCGAACTTTTTAATCGCCGTAGAACATTGTAAACTAATCTAATATTTTCTTTCAAAATCGTCGATAAAGTCGTAAATCTATTTATTTTGGAATATTTCCGACCAATCGAAACGCTCCGAAAAAAAATCTACCTAATTTTTGTATTCTCTACTACATATCGACGGGTGTGTGAGTGTGTACAGTTGATCGATATTACTTTAGACATCTGTTCGCGGTTCACTTATTAACGCAACATTCCTCATGGATTCAACAAACGAAAATGCGACACCAATGGTAAAAACGTGAAAACTTTCCGCGATAAATATGAAGATTCTTTTTTTTCTAGGACAGCGGTATTACACCAGAAATGAGCGAAGAAGCCAAACTAAAAGCGAAATATGGTGGTGCATTGCCTCGACAGCAAAAACTGTTAACGAGAAAACTAATGACGAAAGTAAAAGAATAATTCTTCAAGTTGAATATTCATGTTGAATTCTTTCACTTTTCTTCAGCCAAAATATTTCGACTCTGGTGATTATAATGTCGCTAAAGCTCAAGGTAAATTAGACGCTAGTAAACCCGATCCAACAACAAAAATAGCTAACGATAAAGAAGTCCCATCGCTAAACGTTCCCGAAACAGTTACTGGACATGAAATTCCAACACCCGAAACCGTTATGCCAAGAAAGCTGTCGTGTGCAGCAACAATGACGCCAACATCANTAATGATATCAGACGATGGTAAAATTACGATGATAGACTTTCCACAAATGGTGTCAATATCTCATTTAAATGCGGAATACTATTTTGATCGTGATGTTCAATGTATACGCGATTTCTTTCGACGTCGATTTGAATTCGAAACAGACGTATATCCGAAATTCGCTGATATCAAGTAAGAATTTCCGATATCATGATCGATTACGAAGATTTCTTGCCGATTAGACGCATACATTCATTGGATAATGATGTAAGAGCAAGTGGATTCACAAAAGAATTGGAAAAACAGTTCGAAGAAGTAAGTTTCTATTTGAAATACGATGGTTGTCACCGGTATGCTTTAGGTATCGGAAACAATCGGTCTACGACAAGATGTTCAACATTCTGATCATTCATTTGAAGAAGAGGAGGAAGAAGAAGAGAGTGAGATAGAAGAAGAAGAAGAAGAGGAGGGAGGAGTAACGTCGTCGCCGTCTTCTCCTCCTCAACCCTCAACTGAACAAGTTACAAAATTGATAAAAATCATCGACACAAATCATCTCTTATCTGCCCCGACTGTTGAGGAATTGGCTGAAAATAAGAATCATCTCTTCAAACCATTTCATGATGAGAATAAACAAGAAGCCTCAGATGATGATAGTGACGATATGAAATCAACAGTTTCGACAACACAGAAGTTATCAGCTTTATCTATAGACAAAGATTATGTTCGAGCGAAAGTGAAACAATCGTTAAAAAAGAAACTCAAACAACAACATCGTCGTTTATGTACGAAAGGCGAAGCAGCTCTGGTTACTGCACAACGACGTGATCAAAGAGAAACAATTCAATTACATCTCGAATAAAAAGAAATTGTCTTGTTGTTTTTTTTAATAAAAAAATTTGTTACTACGCCACTCTTCGATAGATGCATCTGATCTTGAGGTCGAAATCATACCTCTTCATCGTCGCTAGTGTACACTCATGCAGAAAAAAACGAACAAAGGACATCTATTCTTGGCTACTCCTATGATATCATTTGCACTTCTTTTCTTTCAGTATAACAAGTACCTGTACGATATAAAAACAGCGAACGCATAACGAGCATAAACATCACCTCATCAACGAGCAATGGCCGGTGTATTTGTTTTGCTTACACTCATTGCTCTCATCTATGTTCTATGTTATTATATTTACAAAGTTTATATTTATTCTCCACCGGTTGAAAATGAACAATTACGGAATCGATGTGTAATTATCACCGGAGCATCGCGTGGAATTGGCGAACAATTAGCCTATGAATATTCGCGTTATAATTGTCGTTTAGTCTTAGCTGCACGAAGCATTGACATCCTGAAAAATCAAGTCGCATCGAAATGTCGAAGTCTCGGCGCGGCTCAAGTCGAATGTGTTGAATTCGATGCTTCGACGGAACAAGCTTGTAAAGATTTAATTGAAAAAACAATTGGATTCTATCAAAGAATCGATATTCTTGTTCTTAATCATACAGCATCGGTTTATCAACCATATTTTAATAGTGATATACCAACAAATGTTCAAAACATGAAAAAGCTCTTCGACACAAATTTCTTCGGATATTTTCACACAGCCATGTCTGCACTTCCGTACTTAAATCAGAGTGGAACAAAACAACTACCAGCGCAAATCATCGCAATTTCATCATTGACAGGTGCTTGTCCGTTACCTCAAACGACTATCTATGGTAAATAGATGCAGATTGTCTATTCATAAAAGTTTCTTGATATTAAATGTATTTAGGTACAACAAAACATGCTATTCAAGGCTTCTTTTTAAATCTCGCTCGTGAACTTCGTACGTCGGAATTATACGAAAGTCGTGTCACATCAACCGTTGCTATTCTCGGCCTGATCGCCACTGAGAAAGCACTTGATACAACAGATCGAAGTCTTCATATGTTTGCAGCGAGTGTACAAAAAACAGCACAAGCGATTCTTGCGGCAGGAGTTTATGGGCAAAGTCGTTTGTTTTATCCACATGTTCTCGGATTGATTCCACCGCTTTATTATATATTTACTCCGTTATTCGATTTAGTCGCGCGTTTAGGTAATTGATTATCATAATTTATTAAAAGAATAAAATTAAAAAAAGAAAAAGAAAGCGAGAGAGGCACACACACACACGCAGCGGTGTTTATCTAAGACGAGATTTATCGTTGACAATGAAAATGTTTTTCGCTGAGCCTACAATCATATTCGGTCGATTATAATCTGTATCAGCACAATAAACAGCATTTTCGAGATCGGTTATTCCACCAATCATCTAAAAAATACAAAGCTCAATCTTTATTTTTCAGTCTCTGCGCGTCCGAATACCTGTAAAAGTGTGTAGTCGTAGATAATCGCTTCGTTTTTATCATTGCCCGCACACATTACATAATCTTTTGGACAAAATTTCGTTGCGTAAAGCTACAAAAGAAGAGTTCACACTCATCTGAGAAATATATTTGTTACCATTGATGTTGCACTGTTTTGAAAAGCATCTTTGATCAATGCACCTGTTGGAAAATCCCAAAGCTACGAGACGAGAAAGTGTCAACACAACCGAAAAGTCAATAATGTCCTTCTCTAACCTGTAAAGTCGAAGTTTTTCTCCATGATCCTGTCAGCACAACTTGGTGATCAGCGACAATATCCAATGCATCACCACATAGATGTGGACCGGCGAAATGCTTTTGCGAATGTTGTACACGCTCATCCCAATAATGAACAGTATCATCCCAACCGCCTGTTAGAAAAAGTGTTTCCATTCCCGGATGAGCACGAATAGCATGAATACGATTTTTGTGTCCATCCATTTTTTCTCGGCTGTCTCTTGAATTCATCAATATGCATTAAACACGAAGACATTCTTTTTCTCCGACTTACGAAGCTCGTAATGTACTTATTAACTTTTTCGTTGTGAAATCATAACAATTTATTTTACAATCGCTACCTAAATGATTTATTCGTAAGAAATGCATGTTTAATTTTGAAGGATTGTTTGTCTTCTTACCGGCGACATATAAACGAGTATGACTGGCATTGAAATCAAGTGCTAGTGGTTGACGATCTTTTTCATCAAACGTGTAAACACATTGTTGAGTTGAGTAATGCCAAACTTTAACATAACCAGCCGTATCTAGAGAGGAAAAGGTCACATAGATTTTATTTTTCCTCTTGTTTGTTTATCATACAGGTTGCAGCGATTAGTTTTTGATGATCACTTTTCAAATCATCTTTATTTGCATAGAATCTCAAACAGGTGACTGGATAACCTAAAAATAAATATTTCAACGAAAATTGTATCGAATTTCAGCATTAGTTCTTTTTACGTCGTGTTTTGGTGTCATTATCAGAAAGTGCATAGAGAAATTGACCAGTTTTGGAGTAGATCTACATGAATATAATTGAGAACATTATTTTTTTTTAAAACAGAGAGAAACTCGACTGGTTAATGGAAAATTTTATAGTTTTTAATCGTTTGTTTTTGTTTCTATCAGAGAATTATTACATCTGTAAGCAACATTTAGTTGTAAAAACAGAATAACTTCGAAGAGAAAAAGAATGAACAGCTGTGTAACGTATCGACGGAATTACACACAAATTTCCGGTAAAAATTCATGTGATTTCATCGGTTATATTTTGCTTCACAAGGAAATGAAGAGAAAAGGTTGCTTCCGTTTGAAATGAAGTGCAGTAATAAACTAAACACTTGAAGGGCATCTCCCGTATATTTTATTACATGAGAACATGTGTCTTTTAAAATGAAATTTCGAACTTACTTTAACTGTACCGTTACCTAAACCAACAGCAAATACATCTCCTGTTGGACTATACTTGCAACAGAGGACATACTCTTCACAATCACTAAAATCAAATTATTAGTTTCCTTTGTTGTCAAATTGATGATACTCACACAACATTTGCTAATTCAAAGTCACCTAATATCAAATGTTTCGGACGGGTATCGACAACCTTTGACATTCGACGTGTACGTATAGCAGGAACTCCTGAACTGTCATTATTTGTCAATGAGATTGAAGGGCGGCGTCCACCTAATAGACATATCAAATAAAGATCAAAAGTGCTTATAGAAAACTGAAATGAGAAACGCACGCACCGATTGATTTCTCATCTTTAGTTATGGTAATCGAGGGGCGTCTTCCACCTACTGACGGTAACGATTCGATGCAGGCACGAGAAAAACTACGATATGTAACTTGAACCTACCAGGTGTTCTCTCATTAGTTAAAGAGATCGAGGGACGTCGTCCACCTAAGAAAGATTTTCAATTCGAAGAAAACCAACATTTACGAAACGCACCAGCTGCTTTATCACTATCGATAGCCGTGATTGACGGCCGTCGTCCACCTAATCAAGGTCAAAATAGTCAACCATGAATGATTAGGTTTCGAAGGAAAAAGACGCACCAACTGTTCTCGACGGCGATGTCATTGTATTTCAATCTGATTGTCAAAAAAAACTTCGTCGTCTCGTTTCGTTTTCTTTTATTGTTAAAAAAATGCAAGAGAGAATTGTAGCTAATCAGTCACACGATCATATTTTACTTTGTTATTCTCTGCTGTTAGACGAATAAATAAGATTGAATGACTGTGTCTGAGAAAGGTGTTGCAAAGAAAACTATGAGAAAGAACAAGAGAAAAAGAAAAGAAAGGCGAAGATCATCAAAACCGTATGACGACCGATGTAACAAGAAAAAAAAAGAAATTTTGATACAAACAAAAACTAGACGAGAAGTGTAATGTGCACAAGTTGCTCTCTCTCTTCCCTTCTCACTCTGGCTGTGAATTCTGTCTAATGGAGAAGTAGAGTTTTGTTTTAAATACATATTGTTGGAAGAAATTGTATTTATTCTTTTGTCATGAAAGACGTTTACTATAGCAATTGTGAGATATAATTACGCTGTGCAAATTTATTTTAACAAAAAGCGACTTGAAGAAGAAGAAAACCTTGAATATGTATTTTATTAATGTTTGCTTTACTTACTCACTAAGGATTCAACAAATTGTGTTCGATCATCGGTAGGAATAGAAGGACGAACGCCCATTTGAGGTTCAGGTTCGGAACCGGAGTCTTCGTAATCTTCGTCATCAAGATCACTCAGATCGTTGTTGTGAGAGGTAAAATCGCCCAATACGTTGTTATATGTTGACATCTGAGTTTAATTTTCAACTTGAAGAATGACACAGCTGACTTCTTTCCTGTTGAAATACGTCATTTGTATTCGTAGTCATGGTTCTATGAGCCAAGAAATATTTCTTGGAAATTGGACATGTCGCTGAATGGTCGAGAAAGAGAACAATCTTAGACGGTTGCCATAGGATATGACACTTGTGCTGCCCTCAACACCATGTTCTCCCATGAACAAATATATTCTCATGTCATAGCAACTGAATAGAAGAAATTCTTTTTTTTTCTTGTAACATGTGTATATATTCGCATTCGTTTTTTCATTCGAAGAATTACTGCTGATGTCTTCAGTACGAACATAAAAGCTTGAATCCGATCTTTTCGTGATTGCGATAAAAACTCTATTCTTACAATGATCTTTATGTTTGAAAAAGCATTTCACTCATCGCTTAATAGGAAACATTCAGTAGGACCTTCTTAGAATGATTATTTATTCACAATGATACAGAAAATTACAAAAAGCAGGAGAGTACTATATTTTTAAGGACATAAAGTCAAATATGTGTGTGTGTGTGTGTATAACTCGTTTTTCGATTAAAGTGTCTTGAGTTTGAGTTTATCCTTGGATTGATTAACATAAATCTGAAAAGGGAAATGTCAAAGATTATTTTCGTCTTCATTGTTGAAAACATACGCTGTTTAATGCATTGAGTAGTTGATCAACTTTCTCGGGGAATTGTTCAATAGGATTCCGATATTCGGAACGCATTCGTTCATCTTTTTGTACATAAACATCTTCATCATTCGTTTTCTTCAGTCCTAATAAAGAAAATCGCGAATGACAATGAAATGTAAATATTTTCATCTGACCTGTCCATTGAATAAATGTTTGTAATGCATAAGAATACAAATGTCGATTTGTGTCTTTGATATTTTCTCTTGCTAATCGAAAATTATCTCCAATAATTGAAAAAAACATACTCATACAAATGAAAACAACAAAGATAATAAATAAACTGAAAGAAAATGGTCCAAGAAAAGCAGCAGCATCACTCAATTGATGTGCATCGAACTTCATTAACATCATTTCAAATAACATTTGTGCTGTTCCTAATAAACCTGAACATTCCGATAATTTCGATATAAATAATAAATAAAATAAACATAAAAATGACATGAAGACAATTGTGAACATCAATGAAAATGAAAATAATTCTTTGCCTGAATATTGAAGTGTTGAAATAAATAAAAAAAGACGTTGATTAAAACGACATAATTTAATCAATTTGATGGTTCCAAAGAAACACGAAAAACTTAGAAGAGAAGTTAAAAGTTCATTGATATACGAAGTGAATTGTAAATTAATAAAAACAAATCCATTGGTTTCTCGAAATAAATTCTCAATTCTTCGACATTCTCGATAACGCCAAATATAAATGAGAAGACTTGTCCACGAACAAACGATGATTCCTATTTCAATAAAAGACCAAAATCGAAGGAAATATTTCAATTGTAAATTGAACATCAATCGTAATTCAACGAACATAAAATAAAGAATTAAGAGGAGATAAGAAATCGCAGAAATCAATTGAAAAGTTGATGAAAAAACTAAAAATTCAATGAAGAAATCGAAAGAAAAGAAAAGGAATTTTACTTTGAAAGTTAATTGGTTGAAATTGAACTGATGGATAAACACCACTTGATGATAAAAATTCAGTTAGAAATGTTATTGATGTAAATAATTGAACATTTGGATTATATAAAGTTAATTGAAGAATTATCGCACGTGTTCGATTATCAATCCATTGATTTTCATGAAGTTGAGAAAGATTTGTTTGTAATGAGAAGAGATTTCCACGAAATTCATAAATATAACCACCTTTCCCATAGATTCCGTGATTTCCTTGATAAATATACGTGTCCAATGTTTCATTTGATTGATATTGAAATGCTTTGACAAGAAATGAACTTATTGGATTTGTCGATGAGACATTTGTCCATCCTGGTTGATACGAATTTCGATCTTCATTTACAAAATTATAATCAGATGAACAAAGTTGATCAATGAAATCTCTTTTCACACACAATTCCGATTTGACTCGTAATTGTCTCATTGTTGCCCAACCAATTAATCGATTTGATTTATCATTAATAAATCCACTTAAATTTCGAGGTGGATCATCATTATACCATTTTTGGGCACGAAGATTTTTAATAAAACTCTTTTCCAACCAATTCCAATAATCATCAACTGTTGAAATCTAAATCAAAGGAATTTCAGTCAAATCTTTTCTCTTCTCTTCACACTTTTTACTTTTGTAAAATCCAAATTCTCTTGTCGAGTGTTGAGAAAGTATTTTCGTAAATGATTTACTTGTAAAAATGAATTCAAATCTCGATCGGAATAAACAAAAATAAATAAGAAAAGAAGAAATGTGAGATAAACAACGATTTCACGAATCATTGACCACATTTCGATTTCTTTTAAACGTTCTTCACGTAAACTTATCACTTCGTTTTCTGTTAAACGATTTGCACGAATTGGATTTCGATATGTAAATAAATTTTCATCCTTTTCAAAATATTCAATTTATTTCTTTCATTTTCAAGATTTTCTCAAATAAAATAAAAAAACAAACCTTCTTTTCATGAAGATATTCTTCATCATAATTCAAATCAACAGAATTATCATCTAACCATTCATTTGCTTCTCGATTTTCATCATTGGATTTCGAACAAAAACATGCGAAGAATATCGCCAATACAATGATCTTCAAGACAAAAACATCACCAAGTCATTTTCATTATGATCCTTTCCAACTCTTTTCTCACCTTAATTGGTTGAGTAAAGAGAATTGACGAGAAAAATCCAGTGAGAATTGATGTCAACCATTTTTGACTTTTCAAATCACCAAATTCAATTCCACGAGCAATTATAAATAAAATTGAAACACCAACTATCATTAAACACAATCCATAACCAATGAAAATACACCACCAAGGAAACATCAATGTTGATCTCTTCTTCGTCTTCGTCTTCATATCATTTGGAGCATTTTCACTAAATCAAATCATCTTCTCTCATCAACATTTCAACTCCAATTCAACAAACTTTTGTGTTGTTCGCCGAACTTTATATAAAGCTTTACGTAATGGGGATTGTTGAGGTCGACGAGGACGAAGACGTCGAAAGAATTGGATAAGAAGTAAACTCGGGAGAAATGCAAAGATTTCCACAATTATTCCAATGCTTATCTAAGCAAATACAAACGAAAATAAATGAGAAAAATTCACTTTTTATCCGACAGTTATGTGTAATGAAAAACAAAACAATGAATCAGATAGAAAACTTTAAGAATCTTAGAGAAATATCATTTGTCTCTTCGATCAACCACGAATTGTTTCTCAAATCAATCTCATCTTCCATTTCTTCAGAGATTTTCATGTGATAACACATCCTCAACTATTTCATCTCAATCACATTAGTCTCTCTACACTTATCCTATGAACGAATGGAGGATACTGACTAAGTCTGATAATGTGTTCATGTTTTCAGTCTGCTACAACGATCAGATGCGTTCAATCGATTCTTCGTAAAATATTATATCGGTACTTTAGTTATATTCAGTTAAGATCAAGTCTTAATTATAAATCAGGACCTTTGTCTGAATGAACTTTTACACTTCACAGCACCTAACACATCTACAATGTCTTTCTTTGCGCTAATGAATACAACGATGATTTGGATGAAGTTTATCCAAGTTCGTTGATTGACACACATCCTCATGTTCTCCTTTCATTTTCACCTTTCGTCAAATCTTAACCCATCTTGAAAAGTTTGATGACAGTCGCTATAAGAGAGAGTCTGGATGAAATATATTCACATTCCCCAATGGATCATTCTCATGTAATTCTTCACTACATATTCACATTTCCGTAGATCAAAAACTATCGTATAAATAGTTGAGTACTTTGTGTCATTCTCTATGATAAAGCCAAGTTCAAAGAACTTTTGTGGGAATCGTCTACACCTACTTCTACACTGATCGATTAACACGTTTTTCCAAGTCTATCAATTCTCCAAAGAAGAAGAAGGATGACGGTGTTTCCTTTCATAAAGCCTTCTGAATGAAATTTCATCCAGGTAACTCACATCTGCCCTCTCGTTGGTCCATCGACAGATTCTCCTCATCTCTCTGGGCCAATGAGGGACCATCATGGAAAGTTAGACAGGAGGCATAGCTGGTACAAAAGGTGAATTAACACACAATCATACAATTCTATATGTGAGAATCTGAGAAAATTCCACCGAAAGGTTGAACGAGACACATTGATCGATTTCACAGTAGATTTGAATTCATTTTTTGAGTACAGAAAAAGGAGAATAAGAAGAGATGAAAACATACTTGTTCACTTGTGATATAAAGACCAGCAAAAGATAAACTAACACTAGTGGATGAATTTGTTGATTTGGCTTCAGTTGATAAATCATAATACATAATATTTAAAAACATTGAGAAAAAGAACAGAACAAAACAACATGTACATCGTTGAACACGTGTAAATTGATTTGATGGTGGACGAGAAAAGATTGAAAACCATAAATGACCATCGGAAACACTATGGTAAGTTCGTTTTGCTAAGAGATGTGCAAATTGCTGTTTTTCCAGATCACTCGCAACCGGTAAAAGTCGTTCAATCTATTTTTGGTAGAAAAAAAAACATTAATTAATTATTCATCAAAAGAAACTTTCTACTTTTCCATCATCTTCTTCGACTGCCAACCATTTTTGACAAATAAAATGAAATGTTTCCATTGTTTGTAAATCACGAATAATTAAATATTTTAAAAACCATGATGAAGACGATCCTTTACCTGAATTATTATGCCAAATACGAATACAATTTAATAAACCAAGAGATTTCGGAACACTCATGAGAAATGCATCAATTCCACCACGTTGAAGAATTTCACGATTTGGATCTGCAAATGTTCGAATATTTGTTTCATCATCATTTCCATGAAGAACAAAATAAACATTGGATTTCGTTCCCGAACTCTTTCGTTGACCGGTAAAAACAATAATTTCATAGAAATATTCGTCATTTTTATGATTATCGGGTAAAACTGTAACACCTAATTTCTCCAAA